CCCACCGTTTGCTGAAGGGAGGTGTGGCCATCTTTGGCTCCTCTGTGGGCAGCTGTGGCAATGCACAGAGCAAGCCGCTTTGGGGGCATGTTAGTGGCAGCCCATTGTGGAAGGCTGAAAATGGGCAAGCCATGTGTGCCGGACTGAGGCCAAGTGTGCCGGGCTGAGGCCGTGTGTGCCGCACCGAGGCCGTGTGTGCCAGAATTCTGCCGGCCTTCGCACACACTCAGCAGTCTCCCGATAGGTGAGGGGAGAGTTTGTGAGGCCCACTCAGGAAGGATGCATGGATGGAGGACGAGTTTACTGGTTTTACTGGTTTTGCTGCACATTTTCCACCTGTGGCTCTCTTTTGCGCTCCTTCCTCCTGCTCTTTCCTTCCTCATCCACCTCTTTTCCTCTCCTGGCTCTGTTGTTGCTTTTCCTCCACCCTCTTTCAACATCCTTCTGCCTTGGCTGATTCCAGGTAGCAAAATAAAAAATACAGTGATACGTCTTCTTTTGGTAATAATATTTCCTCACTTCAGTGGGAAATGCTGCAGGAAATGCTCTTCTATGGAGTCGCCTGTCAAATCTCTTAATACCAACTTCTAGCATGCGACATTCATGCATCCCTCCAGGAACCCAGGCGGCTCAGCAGGTGTGGCTAGAGAAGCCCAGATGTGCCTTTGCCACTATCCTGTGCGCCTCTGCCAGAAACGGGAGCAGAGAAGGAGCGGCGCAAGGTTACACACATGCAGAGCGTTCCTTCTTCCCGAGAGGTAAGGCTGGTGGCTGGGGTGGGTGGGGAGCAGAGGAGATCTCCTCCAAGCCAATTCCCGTTGACCAAAGTCTCCTGCAGGCTGTTTCATCTCATATTATCTGAGTTCCAAGGGGGTGTCCAATTCTGAGCAGGAGCAGCAGCGATAAAGTCATTTACAGCCTCCCACTGAGACACTGCCACATGTGAGAGCCAATTTAAGGCAGCGAAAGCACTCAGAGATCCCCCGGCCCCCCTTTCAGAGACCATCTCAAATTCAGCGCCTGAGCAAGTGGGAACTTCCAAGGAACCGAAGGGAGCGCCTGCCCAGGTTCCCTCCTGCACCATGGTGGCCCCTTGCAGGAATGGACTCACGTGCACTCTGGAAGGGGGGGCGGGGGCATTTAAGCAGAACCGGCCCCTCCCTGGAAAGGCTGACGTCCTACCGAATGGGGCGGGAAATGTGAGGATTGCATGCTGCCGCATCTTCCCTTCCATTTCTAATTTGTTTTCTTTCAAGTCTCAAGGTCCCGCACATTATCCAAAAACAAGCAAGGAATGCTGGTGCAAAATGAAAAGACTGACAACCATCCTGCCACCCTTGCCAGGATCCCGGCTCAAAGGGCTGCCTGGGCTGGCAGGAAGCAGGCTGGGCTGGGCCCAGATGGCCGCCAGGGGCCTTTCGCTGCCCCGGGGAGGGAGGCCCTGAACTCAGCTGGAAGAACTGCCATGCAGCGCCTTCTGCGCAGGGCCGGCTTCCTGGCACATGGGAAGACCCTTCTCGCCCACCTTGCTCCCCACCGGGGGGGGGGTCCTAAGAGGCAGGTGCCGCCTTCTCTCAACAGGCCTTTTCCCAGTGCTGCAGAGGACATGACGCAGCTGTGCATTGTGGAGGGATGCCCAAGGACTGCGCGGGGCTGAGGAGAAAACAGTGTGTGCGCGTTGTGTGTGGGGAAGGCTTCTGGTGCACACTGGCCACCTTGAGCAGCATCTGTGATTCCCTTTGTTCCTGTCCCCCTCACAGGCATGCTTGAAAATATGGCTCGCAAACATCTGGCGGAGGGATGGCGGAGAGAGGGCGGATTCCAACCTCCCCAGGCACGCGCTGCTGTTGTTCTCGTGCCTTCTGCACTGGGTGTCATTCGCTATCAGTGCATAACTTGGAAAGGCAAGGCACCGGACGTGTGTGTGTCTGGGTGGAAGGTCCGATGAGAGCTCCGCTCCCCAGTGCATGCCCGGGCCCCCAGTTGCTCCGACTTTGGTTTTGCAGCTCGGCCACGTCCAAGCTACTGGGGGCAGCACGCCCATCCCATTGATGTGCCCACAGCCAGAGCAGGGCATGCATATTAGGGGCCACAGATGCCTCCTGGGAGGCCCTGCATGGGTGGATCTGGCCCTGCAGGGAATAGAACGGCAAACAGAGAGGTTCTGTGTAACCTTGTCTCCCCCGCAGCAGAAGCGCTCACAGGTTCAGCTGCTTCCCGGTCATGGGGTCTAATCCCCCTGTCCCCATGAAGCTGGCTGCTAATCTGAACAGGTTCTACTGGCCTTAATGGGATGGACTAAAAATAGATGCATGATCGAAGCAATGATCCCCTTGGTGTGCGGCACGAGTGGCTCCTCCATGAAGGACAGAGCCCCAGCTGGAGCCTTCATCTCCTTCCTTCCTTTGCGGAAAGGTTGGGATGAAGGCTGGATGGGAGGGAGGGGCAGCGCTTGACTAGCCCCCCTCTTGGGCTGTCACCTCTAGGCAGGGTCGAGGGACTCGCCTGGCTCTCCACCGCTTCCTGCCTGAAACGCCGCTCCTCTGCCCCGAGATGGCCTTGTCTCTCGCTTGGCCCTCTTGCTCACTCACCTGGCTGTTGCGGGTCACCTGCTGCTTCCAGCTCACCCACCCCATTTCCGGGCAGGGGAGCCAGGGCGGGCCGGGCCTCTTCGAGACAAACAGCTGCTGCTGGTCGGTGCTGCATGGCCAGCTGTAGGGACCAGGGCCTGGCTTGGGAGAAGGCAGCTCCTTGTGACCTCTTGCGGCAGCTGGAGGAGCGGTCCTCTCCGTGGCTGCCACACAGCGGACCCGTGACTCCAGCTGTCTGAACTTGCCATGCAGCTCCCCCGCTGCCAAGCGCTACCAGGTAAGTGTGTGTGTCTGTATGTCCAACAAACACGTAAGTCCGGAGATGTGAGCACATGCCCCAAAACGGGCACATCAGGGCCACTCAGGCTGGCGGCAAAAGTGTCCTTGGTTCTGTGGAAAAGGCAGCGGCGGCACGCGCCGCCCACTCTGCACCGCTCTCGCCCAGTGAGGAGCCTGCTTGATGTGCATCGCTGCCAGGAGCAGGAGAAAGGGATGAACCTCTTAAGGTAATTAAGTTATTGCACATCAAAGCAGGAGCGCTAAGCAGGCTGTTGCTGTGGTGTAGACATCTTAAAAATGGTAATCAACGTGATAACGGGGTGATCAAAAATATGCAGCTTGGCCGCTGATCAGCCACCGTTCCAGCTCTTAGCCCCCAGAATCCCTTCCAAGGAGGCCAAGAGGCCCCGTCCCTGTTTGTCGCTCCACCGCAAAGCAACAAAACACCCAGTGAGACCTTCAGGTCCGTGGAATGTATTGTACCGCAAGCCTTTGTGGGCCAGAATGAGCGCTGTCAGGCAGGTGCGGTGGTGATGGAGGCAAGGAGCGAGACTGAGGAAGTGGGGAAAGTGTCTGCCGTTGGGAGGGTGGGCGAGGACTCGCTAGCTGTGAGCGAGCCAGCGAGCGAGCGAGCCCCCCCTTCCTATGGAGCCCCAGCTTCACAGGGCCAAGCATGCGAGCGGTCTCCCCAGTGCTGGACGATCTTCGAATTGTTCTGGTTGTCCCAGTAATTGTAAGGTTGCGTAAGGCCGGGGGTGGTCCCGGCTTCGTCGCTGTGGCTGGAGGCTCAAGAGGGCTGGGGGGCCCTGAGCCCTGCCGCAGCCTGGATCTGGGGGCACGGAAGCAGAGCTGCTGGGATGCGCGCTCGGGTGGCCTCCCCTTCGGACCACTGTGATGCACCGTTCATGGGGCAGCCTGGGGAGGTGGGTGGTCTGGAAAGGCCAGCGGGCGCAAAACAGGGAGGCAGCCCCCCACTGTTGGCCCTTTCTCACTGCGCTGGCTCCCAGGGCAGATCTGGGCCTGCTCTGGCCAAGCATCCACGGCCTGGGACCCACACCTGAAGGAGTGCCTCTGCCCACACCTACAGCCCCCCACGGAGGCCCCTTCTCCCAGGATCCCTCATGCTGAGGCTCGACTGGGGGGCAGCAGGAGAGGGAGGGGCTCCTTGGTAGGGCCCCCCAGTTCCACAGCGCTCATCCGCGGGCCCCATGGAACCGCTGCTCCCCAGCACCGCCCTCGCCATCTTCCAAAATGCTCTGCAGGTTCATCTTAGGCCCTGCAATAGGATATTGTATTTTAGGCAAAGCCGGTGCATCTTATGAGGTTTATATAGTTGGTGTTATTTGTATTTTTATCCATATTGCAAAAATGCCTAGAGAAAATCATTTCTGAGGTGTTCAATAAATGAACGAATAAGTACGGAAATAAATAAATAAGAAAGAAAGCGTCTGGTACGGAGCTGGGGGGGGGGACTCCTTGCTCCTTCCGCACCAGAGGGGGGTAAGCTGGGGGGGGGGGCATTGCCAGGGGCACTCGGTGCAAGGGCAGACGCCTTTGTTCTGCTTCAGAACAGCTCTCCCAGAGGGGACGATGGGTGCAGAGCCAGAGCCGGCCGGCAATGCCAGGAAATGCGGGCGGTGTGTGCCGGAAGGCTTTGCTACACTTGGGGGGCAGCCGCTCCCGTCCCTCCCCAGGGGCTGTTGCAGAGGGGGGGCCGCCCTGGGTTCCTTGAAAGAGGCTCTGGGGCTCCTCACTCAAAAGCCTTCGGATGCCCAGCCTGGCTGGGGGGTGAAAGTGCAGCAAGAGAAGAAGCCAGGAAGGCAGCTCTTGCCATTCCCTTTTAATTGGGCCTTTTCTTTCCGTTAATCAGGGAGCCATCCTGGTGGCGAGGAGGCCGAAGCCTGCGGCATTGTGTGTGGGCGGCCATCCATCATCCACCAGCGGTGTTTTGGAGCTCCCGGCCGGCGAGGCTCACGGTCTGCTTAGAGGGAGGGGGCAGTGCCTGACCGCGGGGCAGGGCGCCAGCGGTGGATGATGGATGGCCGGGAGCCACGTGGGCCGGTCGGGTGCTGGGCCTGCGGGCTTCGGAGAAACCAGCGTGTCTCTCGGCACCGGAGATGCTTCTTGGGGAAGGGGGGGCTTGCCTGCCTCTGCCCGCCTGCCTGCCTCCGGCCTGAGGGGTGAGCGACGGTCTGCGGGCGGGTGGGGGAGGCTCCCGGGTGCCTCTGAGCACAGGCCCCAAGCCCTAGGGCTCCGCACCACTCCGGAGGAAGGGTGGGCGCAGTGCGTGCACATGAGGATGCGCGTGTGCAGGTGCAGATGTGTAAGCAAAGCTGTGCGACGCATCCGCGGGTGGGGGGAGGAGGCGCAGTGGGTCCCGTGTGCCTGCTGCCCTCTGGGCGCACCTGTTGGGCAGTTCGGAGCCGTGGCCCCTTCCCACTCGAGGGTGGCCACTTCGCTTCAGGGAGAAGCGGTCCTCTGCGAAAAGAGGGCACTTCCCAGGGACCAGCTGGGACAACGGGCGCCTCGCTCTTTCCCGGTCAATGTTGCTCTTGGAGCACGGGGCAGCCCGGAATCCTGCTCCAGATGGTTTCTCTGCAGGGCACACGGAGGGATGGGGCGC